TGTCGCCCAAGGTTGCCATCCACCCGGGTGTTGCTGGTCAGATGGCAACGTCGGCCACCTCGTCACCGGTGCCTGGCGCCGCACTTTCTCTGAGTCACTTTTCGCAGTTTACCCGCTTGCTCCAGAACAGCCGCAAGAAGCAACCTTGCGGCTCGCAGCCGGCCGCGATCGCCAGTGCTGAACGAGCGGACGAAAAGGATTCCTTCGAGGAAGACGAGCCTGCACACCATGTACAGCTCTCGCTCTCGCAAAGTACGCCCAGTTCTCTCGCGGCGCCAAAGCCGGTCATGAAAATGTTCCAGCTACCCCCTCCGCCGCATCACATCCCATCGATGGATAGGCTTGTGGAAAGCCGCAGCGAGGCGGACGAAACCCTTGCGCGCAGTGAGAGTCGGTCTTCCGCGATCGTTCGCGACGACAGCACTCATTCTTCCGGGCATTCGCGTCGTGAGTAAATCTTCCTGTGAGGAAGTGGAATAATTTCACACTGTGTGGGACGATGTACGCAATTGCGCCTCTTCAAACCGAGCGTCGCAGTTCGAGGGCGGTGTGATTTCGTGTTTCATTTGTAGTTTAATAATATTTTGAAACCATATGTTGAGCATCATCATCAACGAGTACCCGCAATAGTGTTTACATGCAGTGTTGCTGGACAACGGCGCTGAACCTCGACATCAGCACTGTGAGACGCGGATTTCAATTGCATTCACCATTCCGTGTGTGCGTCTTGTCGCTTCCTCGCATTATCTAATTCAACAATTGCTCCTACATTGTTGGTTGATATCATTGAGGTAGCCTCAATGATTTTCGGCTCAGTCTTTTGCTTTGTGCTGTTGAACGCAATGCAGCGCAGCAGCAGCAGCAGCAACAGCAGATTGGTGCCGCCCGCACGGACAGCGCCGCGGATTGGCGCTCTATTTGAAGCATATATTCCAAGTCCGTGCTCCTCTCGATATCGCTCTGTGTGATGTGATGGGCGGCGAGTGGGACGCGAGATGAACGTTGAGCCCGAGACGTCTTACCAATCGGGATTGAACAGAAGCACGACCGGAGCCCCAATGCAATCCATCTCACTTCAATACCCATGTCACGACTATTGCGGCCTGACTGATGCTGTACCGTGTGCACAATACAGAGCTCAAGCCAGAGCTGGATTCGATGACGTTGCACCTGTCAAAAGCGCCTGCCCTTCTTTGGAAGCCACCGCCAGACACGTCGGAAGACACGCTTGAATCAGTGGAAGCAGGTAGGAAGCCAGCGAACAGAGTTGGTGTTTCATGGCGACAAGTGAATCTTGTGGAGTTGGTGCCGCTGAAACGTTTTGGCCAACCCTGACCGATTCTTCCAACAAGACAGCCCTGGAGCAGATTGTGCGGGAAACCAAGTTACACATAGCCCATGCATTGGCAGTGCTAATGTACAATGATTACGACGAGGCAAAGGCTCTTCGGGAAGCGAGCACTTTGGTCGTAACGAAATGTGAGTTTATCGTCAACGCTGCCTCCAAGCATCCCGAATGCCAAGTTAGAGAGGATGGAATGCGGTCATTCGGAGGTTGCTCTACTTGTTGGCGATCGTTGCGCAACCACTAACCCTCTGGCTGTTCTATTGGGTGTTTGATTTTCACGCCAAACCGAATTCGGATTTCACTTTTGCTTTTTTTTTTTTTTTTTTTTTTTTTTTTTTTTTTTTTTTTTTTTTTTTTTGGGTTGGGGGGGGGCACCTGTAGATGCTGCATGGACAGCAAGGGAACAACGTAAATTCGAGAGCGCAGTACTACAATTCCGGCTCAATTTCAAAGCTTACCAAGAACTGGTGCGTCGCACTTTGGTGAACGCGGTTGTATCGTGTTGCTTTCTCGCAAGTGCTCACTGGGCTTCGCTCCTTCTGACATTCCAGCTTCCAAAACGAACAATTCATGAGATTATCGCCCACTATTACGCCTGGAGAGCTGCCGAACGACCGCCAAAACTCTTGAAGCAGCTGCGGAAAACGCCAGAAGAGCATCGGCGAAAACGCGAATGCCTGTTGTAGACTGCAGCAGTTTTGCTGTGAATCATTAAAAGCTCGAGATGAAACGGCGGTCGTTTATGACTTTTGCACGTTGCAGTCCCGATTATTACTCTCAACATCAACCCATTACTCGTATCTTCGTGGAACGATCTGATCACAACATTGTTTGTTGCAGTAATCAAGGCAAAGTCAAGAAGGGCTTCTTTCATCGTCTCATCCCTGCGTCCAGCGATGGGGTGAATGTTCAAGGCGATGACTACAGGATGGACCAATCCACTATGTACCTTCAATGGTGTAAGTAGCTGCTCGTTCATGTGGCTTCCAAAGAAAATGTAGCTCACCTGTGGTCCATTCTTCTGGCAGGGCCTGCGACATTCGACATCGACCTTGACGACCTGGGAAGTGGAACGCCCCGCCCTGGTCTATCGGTGCTAATACCGCATCCCAAGCCCGTGCTCGTTCCGAAAGGTTTCACAGATATGCAGGAGAGTGCCTGTCATCAGGCATCCATCGACTCGTTCCACAATTCGGGGCTCGGATGGTCCAAGCAGCTGGACGTGTGTGCATGTGTGTATGTGTGTGTGTGTGTTCCAATCCAGGTGTGAGTAATCCTTTTAATACGCAATTTCACTTGAAAAATACAAATACAACATGGAAGAGGTGCAGGAATGGGTCGACGTTACCCGTCTGCAAGCGCAACAATCTTCTGCACCTCGAGCAAAGTTGTGGGGCATTGCGCGAGCAGCTGGGAGAGTAGACCGTCTTGATCACGCAACAGCTGGCGCTTTGGAGTCCGAGCCGAATATGACAAAGCGTCGGAGTCGTCCAGATGAAGATGCTGCTGCAGGACTTTTGTGCCACCGATCTCTAGCGACACAGCAAGCAAGCCGAGACCGAGAAAGTCGGCCTGCGGAGTGATTGCCTTCTCACTGCGCGCAATGTGGTAAAAGTGGCCTGGCCACACGTCCCACGAGTTGTCGTCGACGCGGTTGAGCCACGGTTTGAGCTTTGCGGTAGCTTCGACAGTCACAGGCGCTGCCAAGAGTGCTGTCTGCACGTGCTCGCGCGTCGCAACTGGAAGGAAGCAAGAAAGCCCAAAATCGACCAACGCAATCGAATGAGGTGGCAACTCGACAGCGCCTTTGGGCAGCGACTCGAGGGCGCCTTTTGGCGGTGAGGCGGGTGGCGTCGGTAGTAAGTTCATTTGGGTGACCAGCAAGTTCCCACGATGAATGTCGCCGTGCACCACTCCTTGCGCATGAATCCAGCGAAGAGTGTCGCAAACTTGCGAGGCGATGCTTGCCGCATATGGTTGATGTTGCTTCCAGTCAACGCTCGTACCAGGAATGAGGCCCGTGACCAACGCCAGTCCAGACTTTCCATTAAAATCGGCAGTGCAGAACGATAGCAGCTCGGGAATGCCATGAGCAGCAGCTTCCTTTCGGTCATGGTTGAGGAGGGCTAATGCCATGCCCTCACGCGCCAGCTGTTCTGTGAGCGTATTGCGATCTGCCGGGGCAAACTTGACCACCACATTGGTGAATTCCTCGCTCGAGTTCAGGCTGAGCTTGCCAGTGAACATGAAATCGCGATGAAAGACCTGGGCATCGAGCAGAGGTTGCGGGCCAGTTGCCTGAACAATGTCAAACACGGACAGAAGAAGAAGTTGAGACAAGAGTTTACAAGAAGCTGCATGATACTTCAAACGGGGCCTTACCAAATTGAGAACACGCGAATTGGCTGTGCGACGCTGGTTGCCGTTTTTGTTCCTGGGGGTTGGAACTTTCGCCGCGTCTTGACCTTGCGCGCGGTTTTTACCTTTGTTCGCCGCGGATTGTTTCCCTTTGTGTCGCGCGGGACCTTCGTCCGTAGCTTGATGGCCACCGTCGTCATCGTCGTCGTCGTCGTCGTCGTCGTCGTCGTCGTCGTCGTCGTCGTCGTCGTCGTCGTCGTCGTCGTCGTCATCGTCGTCGTCGTCGTCGTCGTTGTGGTCGTTGTGGTCGTCGTGGTCGTTGTCGTGGTCGTGGTCGTCGTCGTCAAAGTCGTGCTTCCAATCGAATTCGCGATCGCCCGCAGCGTTTTTGATGGCTCTCGACACAAGAAACAGAACCGCCCTGGCTGGGTCCGCCGCCAAACTGGAAATTTCAGGTGCAATGAGCTTGCCATGCTTCTTCAGCAACACTCGAACAACATAGACGCTGGGACCGCGCCAGAGTATTCCTTCAACAAAGTCTGGCCAAGAATCGACACACTCCATGACCTTGAGGTTGTCGAATCGCAGACGGCTAACCATGTAGCTTGCGAGTTGCAGACATGCTTCGTTGAGTGGCGAAGCATGTGTTTGGACTTCGATCATGAACAGGATTTCAGATTGTAGACGAGCGAACAAGTTGTTTGCGGATGACCTTGCAGCAGTGCTCGAACTCGTGGATGTGGAGGCCTGGCCCTGTGAATCACCGGCTGCGGCCGCGCCCTGTGAACCACCCGCTACAGCTGCAGCCAAAGCCCCTTGGTTTTGCAGACTGTTAGACGGAATGCCGTTCGCCGTCCTTGTGGATATCGCAACGAGATCAGGTCCGAACGACCCCTGAGCGATGACGTGAAATTTGACCGTTGACTCAACCAGGGAACAGACTTGCTGGCAAAAATTTGCAAGCGCGGAATACGTCGAAAGTTCTTGCCCTTCCAGGAACGACCTGGGAGGCGACGGCAACGCCGCCTTCAGCTTGTACCCTGGAATCTTCATTTTCCAGGAGGTATCGGATTTGACGAATAGGTTGGCGAGCCTTGCATTTGATTGTGATCCGATGCAGGACACTTCCCATGAAATTGCATTCACACTGAGTTTCAGCCGTAATTTCGCCTCAAAGTTGCACATTTCGACAATCAGAATGGCAGGGTGGCTTACAAATTCGCACTGTGTTGTGAATTCCAACCACTCGTGCAGCTTCAACTTCCCGGGATCGTCTTGTTCTTGTCTTGGATCGTCTTGTCCCTGTCTTCGATCATCTTGTTCTTGCCTTGGATCGTCTTGTCCATGTCTTCGATCGTCTTGGATCAGTTGGGTTTGCAGATCAATCACCAGCTGATGGCTTGCAATCTGAGCAAGCTCTGCAGGTGGAAGTCAAATCGAAAACAGAACTCGTCAGAATGACACACAAGGACAAACAGACAGGCAGACAAACAATCAACCCAACACAGAGAGAAAGAAAGAGAGAGAGAGAGAGAGAGAGAGAGAGAGAGAGAGAGAGAGAGAGAGAGAGAGAGAGAGAGAGAGAGAGAGAGAGAGAGAGAGAAAAGAAACCGAAGAAATAATAAAAAAGCGCGCGCAAAAATCGCCGAGACTTTTTGCTGACAGTGGTTTGTTTATGCGGAAAGCAACGAGGAGGCAAGAGCCGGTCAACTGGGAAGCTTACCAATGGGAGCAGCATCTGGAGCAGGAGCAGAACTCGAGGTCGCTTCAACACCAACAGGAGGAGCACGACCAAAAGCAGCAACACGAGCAGCAGGAGGAGCACGAGCAGCACCACGAGCAGGTACAGGAGCAGCAGCATCACGACGAGCATAAGCAGCAGCACGAGCAGCAGCAAGAGCACGAGCAGCATCAGCAGCACGAGCAGCATCATTCACGCTTCGCCCGGCGAGACCAGTGCTCAATGCATCCGCCGATGATGATGCGGTTTGCTTGTTTTGTTTGACCATGAAAAGAAAAAAAAACAAGAAACAATAATAGAAAAAATGTCTGAGCAAATGCATTTGAATGAGAATCAACTCAAAATGCAATGATTGCACACGCTTTGCTTGAGAAGCCCCTGGTCGTCCCCTGTCGGCCGCTTCACTCTGGAAGCTGGATCGATGATAGCCTTCAATCGAGCGCATCTATTGGAGGGAGTGAGGAAGCGGGCCTGTTTTGGCGCCAACTCGAGCCAAGAACCGTCGTGTATCGATGCGTGAAACTGCCGACTTGAATAAAACTTTGCTACGCGTCGCGATTGTCGTTGCCATGAGATCGGTTTGACGCCGGTTACTCAGAGAGACGATTAAACACAGACTTGAAGTTGTAGGGAGGGACGAGGATGTGCCGATGGGTGGGGCGGGGGGTGAAGGGCTGCGAGCGAGTGAGGTACTGTTGGTTTGTGGGATTGAATTTCGCCAAGTGACGATGTTTTATGAAAGTAAACGTTTATTTATGCTGACTGGAACTGGGGGGGGGGG